CCTCTTGCTTTATTAGACTCTAATTAACTTGCTAAGTATGGAATCAAAGGAGAAAAGAAAATATGCCAGTAAGGTGACAGTGGGATACATCCATCCCCAATAAAAACAGACTTACCAAGCTAACTTAAACCTCTAGTTCATATAGTTCTAAAAGAGAAATTTTCACAGGACTACAATTGGGCTCTTCATCTTTCTTTTTTGAAAAGGTGTAATTGGTAAGTACTACCTTTCTTTATTGGTATGTGGCACCATCAGAGGTAGCTAAGTGTTCTGCTTGCTTTGAAATCTAAAGATTTCTACGACATATAAATGACTTTATAATTTTCTAATTTATTTCCATTTGTGTTGATTGCATAATATATATCCGTGTCTTAAATTTTCAAAAAATATAGATAAATATTTCTTTAAAACTATTGGAATTTATTGACTCTCCATTCGAAAACCTAATACTGAGGAATATATGATCTTACAGAATGTATCACCCAACATATAGTTTTTTATTAATCATAGAATCTTATCAGTAATCTACAGTTTTCCAAATATTTATTGAACGTTCTTCTAAATCTGTGAAGATTCTATATCTATATATAGAATCTTATGAATCTTATGTATGGAATACCTATATATTTTATACCTATGTATAGAATATTTTTCTTGCCAAATTGACTTGTAATTTACTGGCAATCATTTCTATAATAGAGAGTTTAATAAAGTAATGGTTCAAAATTTATAATATCTATATTATTTATATATAAATCTCTTAAGATGCTTAATGTATTATAGTAAAATAATGTTATGTTCATATATAAATACAATCTCAGTAAGATTATGCAAATTTAAAAAGATGTTTTTTTAACATCTCTTATTCTACATCTTAGTACATTTGAGGATTTTCTTTGCCATAGTAAGGTACTGAATCTCAATTCCAATTTAAACAATTTAAACAATTTAAATTGTTTAAATGCACAAAGATTGAAGCTCTGCACAAAGCCACTCCTAATATATCACTATTTCTTCACTTTCCATTTTAATCTAGAGCACTTGTTTGGGTTTATTAACTTTGAAACTGCTACCACAAAATAAATGTAATTTGCCACAAGTAACTATTGAACACTCTGATAGCTTCAACACCAAGAATTATGTGCTACTGTAAAGAGTTTATTAATGACATTCTGATCATATCTTTGGCATGATCTTTACAAACAATTTTTTTTTTAAATCCAATTCTATATCACCTTAGAAATAAACTTTGGAGAGGCTAATCTTTAAAATGAATAAAAAAGATAACATTTAAACCCTCTAGCAATAGGAGAAAAATGACAGAAAATCATGGATTCAGTGTTCAGCTGCCTTAAGCAGGTATTTTCTTAGGATTTCCCTCCTACAGATCCCATAAGTCTAAATTCAGACAAATTTTGTTTATTTAAAGAAGTAAACTGCATGATATACTTGCTTAAAATATTTGAAGATGTCTTTAAAAAGCCCTTCATTGGCTGGGTGAGGGGGCGTTTGCCTGTAGTCGCAGCACCTAGGGAGGCCCAGGCAGCAAACTTGAGGTCAGGAGTTGCAGACCAGCCTGGCCTACATAGGAAAGCCCCATGTCTACCGAAAATACAAAAATTGGCCAGGCGTGCTAATGCACACCTGTAATCTTAGCTACTCTGGAGGCTGAGGCTCAGTACTTGAACTCCAGAGATGGAGGTTACAGTGAACCGAGGTCGTACCATTGTCCTCTGGCCTGGGCAACGGAGCAACACTCCTTCTCAAAAATAAATAAACAAATAAATACAAACAAATTTTAAAAAATCCTTCATTATTTGGTGTGCAGAAACAGTTTTCCTCTTCACTTGGCACCAAAGTGACCAATAGTGAAGAATGGCTGTTTTCTCCTTTTTGGGAATAAAGATAGAAAGTTAATTGTAGGACACAAGCTGGAAAAATCTCACAGTTGGATTTTTCTATGAAGAAGTTGTCTTACACAGTAAATCACAAGCATAAATGGTAAACTATGTTCACATATTAATAAGCTCTTAGCTTGTAGAGTGAGAATTTTGTCCATTGACTGATTAGCAATTTTAGTCAAATATTGTTACAGTAAAAGAATCTTCATTCATCTCCCCTGTATAGAGTCTTTATAATGTATTTGTTAGTATTATTTAACCATTTTTGTATGGAGTTTTGTATTAAGTTTTCTTATTGATTTTTACTTTTTTCATCTTAGGATTTAGATACATAGGATTATTTTTTACTGGTATGCATAGAACATAATATCTGAGAATTTTTTTCACTTCTCTCTGTTTAAGAATTCTTTTAGAGCAAAAAGATGTGTAATCCTGATGTTTTGAAATCATCTATATTCTCCTTTGTGGATTATGTATTTTATAATGACATAAGACATGTCTTCCTAACCTAAAGACATACATAGTTTGTACTGGATGTTTTACTACAAACTACAATTTTA